CGCTATAGCACCTCCAGGTCTTTCCCCGTCTTTCGTGGTGGTTGTTGATCACACGCCCGGGTGCCGCATGTTTCGGATCTCGGCTCAGGCGTTCTTTTGTGGTGTATTTTAAGCAGGAACACTAATGCAGTATCCTGCCTATATTGGCTTCGGAAGGAGGCATCGCATGCTCTGTATGGCTGACTCGTGTAGTACATTTTACAAACGATGCCGAATTCGCGGATCAATGTGTATGTCTGGTGTTGTGGTTTCATTTGCCAAGGACTCTGTCGTCGGTATGTAGGATGCCTAACCGCCACCACGGCAAATCGGATGTGATGTCATGGTTCTATACTGTGAGTTGACTGAATGTGGCAGGGTGATGATGACTGGAGCGGTATAAAGAAAGAGGCGGTCACCCCGACTGCTATGGCTCTACAGCCTGAGAAGAAAAAAACCCCTAACGAGTTCTCCACGACGTCCATCCAACATGCTTCCTCGTATGAAACACCTAGTCCTTGCTTCTGTGCTAGGCACGACAGCGTACGCACAATCGTCTTCTGATTCTGACCCCGAGTCCTTGACATGCGATGATCTCTCCGATGGCCTCGCATACAATGCCTCCGTCACCCACAACACAACTGCTCTAAGCATGTCCTGGCTCGGAAGCGAATTAGTGCCGTTGTTCTCCGAAGACAACGGGATCAATTGGCAGATCTCATCTTATATCGGGCCTTACATCTGGCCTGGAGGTGGAATCAGCGAGAACGACACTCAATCCGTTCTATGGTTCGACGTTGGTGAATCGGATACAGAACGTTTGGGCAATCGGATGGGTTTCTGCCACAACGTTGTCCCGTTGCAGGACTTCACCAGCTCGAATCTGACGTTTAGCAGACAAGTTTTGGAGAGGGCGCAAGATGACAATGGGGATTGTAAGACGATGCTTGGAGAAGAATGTGTGCAAGCTCTCCAGGCTTGGTACTCAAGTACAGGGATGGTGTGGGGATCTCAGGATTGCAACACTATCACCCACAAAATACCTTCCGAATGTGAAGGCATGTTGGCCGAAGCTGTGACAGTTGGTAAGTCCTGAATTCGTGGCAACAAAGAGGGCAGAGATCTAACTAATGGCGCTTATAGACACTGCACCATTCAACGCCTCTGACCACGTCCGCATACGGGAATGGGCCAAGTATGACAACGAAACCTACACTGAGGATTTTACCGTACCTACCTGCGACGACCGCAATCTGAGCAGTGGTTGGGGTAATAGGTTCCCTATTCACACCGACTACGACGTGGCACTGAACTTTCCTATTGTGGACATCCTACACTTCTATCCCACCACTCCCGTCACCAACCGTATGACCGGTCGCAGCGTTCATGCAAAAGTCGTATGTTTGAAACCTGGGAAGGTGCAGGACGGAAGTCGGGCTCCGAGAAGTGCCAAAGCGGTGCTTGACGAGAAATTCGGTCCACAGGATGGAGAAGACTCTCAGGATGGGGATGATGCTCAGGATGACGAGTCTAGTGCCGAGAGAGCCATTGGATGGAGTGGCAGGGCTGTGTTCGCATCAATGGTTGGCACGATTGTTGGAGTCTGGCTCGGTCTGTAGAGTACCCAAACGCTTTAGTTGATGCAGCGTATGCCCGAGAAAGAAGCATGTCCAGTTTCGACCGTCATCGATCGGTGTGCAACAATACCGGAAGGATCGGGAATGATGATCATATAGAACTGTGGCCCACTGCGCAAGCAAAACTCCACTCTTGGACTAAGCCCCTCACTGCTTCTCCACAGACACCGGACGAAGCAACCACACCACAGCTGGAGAGTGGCGCTAAAGCACAGCCAAGCAATGAGCTTACTCTTTACGGATCTGAACCGGCATGTGATTGTGGCTTGACAGCCACGTTATTGCCGAATGCCCTTGTTTATAGTGAAAGAAGAAACCGTAAGAATAGAGAGCACGGCTTCCCAGTTACGTGACGAGACTTCATCAATGTAGTGGCATCGTAGTCTGGTGTGCTAGCGCTCTCTATGTGCGTCATTGGAGATACGTCACACTGGAGGCCGCTAGGAAGTGTGAGTAGGTACTCAGTGTGAAAGGGTTCGCGAGACTTGCCGGAGCGAAAGTACCCTGTACTCACAATTGATGATTTTTCCAGGACACAGGGTTCAGTAAGGCGAGCAGAGCACGCAGGAGGGGTGTGCCTAGCATTAGTGGATCTGCCGCATTTTGTGGGTATGGGGAATATTCAGTCATTGAGCTTGTCATTGACCACTTCAAAGAATTGTGAATACATGCGGAAATAGACTTGAATCTCATGGTGTTCCTTTTGTTACTTACAATGATTGCTAACCTGACGCGCTTCCGGATCGCTCCGTAGAGCGGGTCAGAGGAGAAGGGAACACTGCCGGTCTCAGTCATGCTTAGAATGCATGGGACGTTGTCAACCCTAGGAATCGTCATTCAAAGTCAAACTGGCACTGCGACAGCGCCGAGCAGAGGCGCATCGGACTCCATCACGATCAGACTCAAGCCATACTATCTGTGTCGCGTGGCTTGTGTATCTGTGCTGGCACCAGTGCCATGCGCTGGAACCGCCAACAGGATCGCCGGCACCATGGAGTCGTGCTGAAAGCTTGGAAAGGTGTCATAACCACGGGGTTGGAACCATTGTTGTCTTGCTGGGCCTGTGAGAGTTACACGATAGCCTGGGCAGACGCTTGTCAAGCATTTGCGATAGGTCAAGAAATGCCTCGCAGTTGCGGAAGCACTATTTGGCTAAGCAGAACGTGTGGCGCAATCTTGGTAGCTTTTGTATGGGCCTACGATAATACCAGACCGCGTGATACTAGGCGGATGTTGGAGTTGGTCATGAAGCGGGGTCGTGTGTGGACGAAGATCGAACCTGAGCCAAGCCGGGGCCAAGAGGACTAGTTGGTGCCAAGGGGCGTGAGAGACGCGTGAGAGGAGCGGAGCGAATCGCGAGGCGAGCTGATGCATAAAGGCGTTGAGGCTGTGCTGGTGGGCCGATTCGATTAGGGCGCTCCTGTCATGGGTTCTGACACACTGACAATTTAGCTCTGATCTGGCGTTCCTGTGAATTCCCACCCCTTTGGGCGGCATGTAATATGAGTGCCTGAATTGATTCGGGTAGCAGAAGTTTTCGCAGGCCCGTGGGCGGGAGGATAGATGAAGGGATGAAGATCAACCGACAGGGCTGATGTGCTAGCGCGCTGCGCTGCGTAACGGGTATCCTGCTGCATACGGGACTTGTCTGATTGATGGCACTATCGGAGGCTTGCTACTATGCACCCACGGCCAGGGTACTGCTGTGCAGCCTGTGATAGAGCATGTCTTACCGGAGAGGTGCATGTGTAGCCGCCTTTCTAGTCAATCACGATGCACGCGAGCGGCATCCCAGCATGGGGCCACTGTTGACGTCTGTGTTACACACCGTGGTAAGAGTCCGAGATAAGTGCCGTGTACTTTTTGGTTGCTTCTTCGCATAAACAGCTGATTTCGGGCTGCAGGGCGGGAGAAAACGGCACCTGCTCAAGCGGAGCGAGGGGACTTTTGCTTCGCAAAGCACAGTGTTGACTTTTACCATTTTGATTGCGATCTGGTGATGACGGGTGAAAAATGGCAGCGGAAAGTGGAGTACATGAGAGACCACGAGGCATGACTTCATCTGAAGCGCATTCCGGCCATGCCTGTACGGGCGATGCGCATGCTCACCCGCCAGCGCTGACCTGGGATTCAATATGTTCCGCTCGCTACCGGTCCGATAGCCTTGGAAGTCTCCATAGTGTAGCACAGTGCAGCGAAAGTTTGGGCATGGAGGGCAGGAGATGGCTTTTGGCAAAATAGCAACCCCCTTGTCGCGGCGCTGATTAGCAGAGCGTCTGAGCGCCGTCGTGTCAGGGCAGATTTCTATGATTGTCATTGTCGCAAAGGGTGGCACAGGGGTCCAGCGCCAATGGGTTCCGACACGCTGCGTGGTGAAGGCACTGGAAGGGCTCTCATGGCGGACGGCGCACCTCGTTATCTGAGAGCGGTGAGAGTCGATAGCACACGGATCCAGCAGGCTGGCACGGATCTGCTTGCAAACTCTCTTGGTCCGCCGTTAGTGCCAGAGCCCGCGTTTGTGTCCCGGTGCCGCGACGGACATGAAGGAGTCGCCTTGTTTGGCATCACGGGCGTTGCTGGGCTTGGGCACACCTGGTCAATCCTCTGCGCGCTAGAAGCTGGAACCCTCGACCCCTGCCGCCTCCGCCGCCCAGCAGAGTGGTCCGTTGTGTTAAATACTATGGCGTCTCCCTAGCAGTCCACGTCGTCGTACCATTCCAAGGTTTACTCAGAAACACCAGTGCCAGCTACCAGCTAGATCAGCCTGACCTGATCACCACCCTGCCGCAGCTGTCCTGACTCATCGCCCGGCTGCCTTGCTCGTCCGTCTCCTCGCTGCAGTAAGCAACCTTACCAAGCCGCCGGCACCGACCCCATCGTCATTCCACCAAGTTCCGGCCTGGGCTGAGTCTACATAACACCGTTGCTTTTCGCCGCACCTGTCGTCCCCCATCGCGCTTGCCCGCTCTAAACTCCGCCGCACTTGTCGTTCCCCGCCCGCCATTCCCTAAACAAGTAGGTAAGGGGTGATCGACCACGCGCGTCCCAATCAGCCATCAAACCTTGGCGCACGGCATCCTACACTGTCAATCTCCACTCCACGGCCCTCCTGCCCTTATAATCGGACCCGCCGCTTCTCTGGACATCACCGCAGACTCCATCTACGCCAGCACTCTACCACTACCGCTTCACTACCACCTATTCACTAGTGGCCACTAGCGTCTACCCCAGATTGCCACCCGTTTTGACCTCGTGACTGCATCCCGCCCGTCACCTCCAAGACCGACACCACGTCTCCCACCACGACGTCGCCATCACCCGCAACGTTTCCCGGAACCACACCCCGAAAACGAATCTACCTCGACATCACTTGAAAACAATACAATGTGCGTCGCCGAACTCTGCGTCACGGTCCTTCCGTGCCAGCACCGCTGGTACCACTTGGTGCGCCCATGCAGCCCCTCCAGCAACCTCTCCACATGCGGCAAGAAGTTGGGAATCTCCGGCTGGGAAGTCAAGTGCGACCACTGTCCCTACTGCCACGGCCACGTCTCCGAGTTTGAGTACAAGCTCATCGGCGACGGACCAGCACCACCTGTCGGATCCCTCTCAGGCCTCGCACGCGCACACTCGACGTCTCTGAACGCAGCCCGCCGGGACATCCGCCTCGACAACATCACCCGAACCGACAGTGCGACCAGCGTAGGCAGCAAGAGCAGCTTGGTCACAGCCGCCTCTGAGAAGAACCGCGCAATGAACTCCCGACTCGACGCCTACTTCTTCCCCTCGGCTGACCAGCCCTACCCCGCTGTACGAGAAGACGACGCCGAGAGCAGCAGCGCGACCAGCCCAAGCGACACATCAAGCAACGACCGCGCAAGCATGCGACACTCGTCCATCTCCATGTCGGCTGAGCCCTACAAAGCCAACATGCTCTCGCGTGTCCGGCAACGCACCAAGCGCATCTCCACCATCTTCAGATGAACGGACCGTCAATATTGCGCTTTCCTTAGCCACGTCAGTACCTACACAACCCACCTCAGCTCTTGGTAGTCCGCATCGCGTCCGAGTCTAGGCTGTGGCTGAAGTGAGGAGTCGCTTCCCCATTGATCCACTTAGCCACGTTTTCCTCGGCCCGAACGGCAATCACATGCCATGATCATGCACTCCGCGGACCGTGCAGGCCATCAGCCACACCTGTCTGGTCTCTGGAGCCGAACTTCTCAGCTCCTCACGACGACTGCCGAAACTCCACTCTTCACTTCATGTATCTGTTTTCCTCAACCTCGCCTAGCGCGTTTTGGCCTGTTTCTCTCATCTCTCTCTTACTTCGGATACCCACTCTGCTCTTGCATTCTGCGCACGCGAACGTGCCCCGGCGACGGGTACTCTTGCGCACTCATTTCGGCCGCGGCGTTCTCACGTAAAAACGACAGGGAGTACTTCAGGCGAACACGAAGAGGGCAAGGGCAACCTGCGTTTGCTTCCATTTTGGTTTGGAATTACCGGGGTTGTCTGGCGTTGGGCAGCAAAACGTTTGTGCGTCATAAGCGGCAGGCGCTTCGTCGCTTTCTTTCTCGCTTGCTGTTGCTATGACTTACGAATGACTCAAGAGTGTTCTAGAAGCTAGTTTGTTACAAAATTCACATATGTTTGCAAACAATTACGTGCATCGCGCATTTACCCATCTCTCGAGTGTTGCAAGTGTTTCAAGCACCCTTACTGACGGATGTTACCAGATTGCCTGCCACACCCATGCATGGTTACGAATCTGTGCCACACCTGCGTGCCACACTTCCGCTCCCATGCAGGTGCTTCGCAAAGCAATCTAGACCTTGCGCTCTGGCACGTACAGACGCGTCACCGCTGCTTGGAGCTACGCGATATCGATACCCACCAGCGCATGCAGGCATGTACACTAAGTGCACCATGACACCCTTTCCACCCCGCCAAGCCATGCAGGCATATACTATTACACCGTATATTCCGCTCTGTCCGCCAAGCTAGCCATTTTCTCCCCACCAAGATGGAGAAAAAGCGAGCTTTTCGTTGTCGTGGCCAAAATCTCAGTTTGCCGTCGGTGAAGGATCCCTTTCTCGCCGAATGTCGTGTCCAAGCTCTCGTGACAAGTGCATGGACAATGTCACAAAGTTTGTTGCTTACTCGAAATCTGGTTTGCGCCATGAGTAACGTCTGCAGATCTTCAGCTGCCGGAGAAGTCCATGAACCCTAAGTGATGTGAAGGGGAAATAAACCTGCCCCAAGAGGAACAAGCACACCAAGCCTGAGATCAGCGTGCTTGATCTTCTCGTGCTGCAGGGCATCGATGGTTTGGGTGATAAATATCATCATCGCGCTTGAAGATCTGCTGCTACTCAAGTTTGTACCTTACTTCACAGACCAAGTCATATGTCTCGACATTGTGGTACACTTGCGATCATATGACTACAATTTTGATCAAGCACTATAGTGAGTGGAAAGTATCAGGCGTGGAGATCAGCAGAGCCGTAACGACAGAGCCAAAGAAATGTCGCATCGCACCTGATCAATTTCGACAGCTTTGCCTCACGAGTAAGGAGAGACAACAGTACCTATATTCGACGCACGACACGCAGGGACAATGTGCACAGCCTCTACGCCAACGTCACACATTGACAAGCCTTCAATATCAACACATAAGCTTCGCACCAGTGTCGCGAAACAAGCAATTTGGCAGACCAAGCAATTGAAGCGCAGAGATCAACCTGCCAGCTGGAAGGTTCCATCACTGCACATCACTCTCGCCGAGTGAGGGGTTCGCATCAAGGGATTTTGTCGGTTGGGTTTTGATCGGCAGAGAAATACAGTTCGGCATCAACGGGGAGCGACGATCATGACGCTCGGTGCAACGCAAAAGCATATGAAACCAAAGACTGTGATTTTAACGTACAACCGGCAAGACGATTGCTAGTGTACGATGTTACTGTAGCCGCTCTGGATAGACAAGCTTTGTGGTAGTAACGGATCATTGTATTCGTTTTTTAGTTTATGTGAAGACTACTCAGTGTAGTAACCGAAGTACCTTGACCAGGTCCGCTGTTACACCCATGGCAGTGACCTCGCCGCCAGCACCGGCACCCTGGATGATGAGCGGGTTGTCGCCATATCGCTTTGTGTAGAATGCGATGATGTTGTCGCTTCCCTTGAGTGCCGCAATAGGGTGGCTTGTGTCGAACTTCTCCAATCCGACCTTGACCTTGTTGTTTGGTACGTCGACGCTTCCTACAAATCGGATGACCTTGCCTTCCTTCTCTGCCTCTGCCTTAAGCTTCTCCATTTGGTCGTCGTATTGTGGGAGTTTCTCGAGGAACTCGTCGCCGGATGAGCACGACTCGAGCTCCTTGGGGATGAGAGACTGAACGGGGAATGATGTTGGCGATTCGACCTTTAGGCCAGCGAGACGGGCGAGAATGGTAAGCTTTCGAGCGACGTCTAGTCCATTCAAATCGTCGCGAGCGTCGGGCTCAGTGTAACCCTTCTCTTTGGCTGATGTTACCTCAGCTGAGAAGTTTCCACCTCCACCGCCGAGAGGCTGGAAAGAGTTGAAGAGGAAACTCATGGTTCCGCTGAAAACGCCCTCAATCTTTGTGACTTCGTCTCCGGTCTCGACCAGATCCTTCAGTGTGGAGATAACAGGCAGTCCCGCGCCGACGGACGACTCGTGGAAGACGTAGCCACCAGCACCATTTCCGTTGCTCGCGGCATCAAAGATCTGTGTCCACAGGCCATAGCTTCCTGAGAAAGCTTTCTTGTTTGGCGTAACAATGCTGATTCCCTTCTTCAAGAAAGCAGGGTAGCTATCCGCAACGTCCTGGTTGCTGGTGTTGTCGACGAGAACCACCTTGCCAGGCGCTTTCTGTAGATACTCGCAGAGTTGTGGGAGCGGCAATGTGGGGTTGGAAGTGTTTTGGAGCTCGGATTCCCAGTTGGAAAGGGATTTGTAGTCGGCGTGGTAGACAGCTTTCTTCGAGGTGCTGAGCCAGATGAGGGAGAGGTAATACGGCGACGAGGGCGATTGGGAGAGACGTTTAGAGAGGGCAGATAGTTGGGAGAGGAAGGCTTTGCCTACGCCACCAGCACCTGTAATTGTTAGTATGAAGCATGTATGTGGGAAGATTGTTGCGCGTACCGATAACGGCGATGAATACTTGACGAGGTAGAGGCATGTTTGTTTGTTGTAGTCAATTGATTGTGCGAATCTTGATGCTGAGGACGTGACGTTTGTGTCAGCTCTCAGGACACAATGGGAGGATATCCAGACTTGAAAAGAGAAAGACTGCGGCTCGCGGAAATCACGGTGCGGCTCTCAAAGGTACTGCGATGTGGGGTTGGTGAATCAAATGTTAGCCAGGTGGGGTAGCTCCTGAGGTTAGTGACGCAACAAGCTCAGAGCTCCGAACATCGCCGCCGCGCCTACGCGCTCAGCACGCGACTGTCATCACCCAAACCGACTTTCATCCCCAACCCCACCATGTCCTCCAAAGACGCCCATCTCTATGGCGTGCGGCCCAAGGGACGCGCAAAGGCGAAAGAAATCTCCAGCTCGAGCAGCCTCGCCTTCTCCTCGACCCTCTCCAACCTCATCAAGAACTCTTCGACGGAACCGAACAAGCCCACCGCGGGCCGCGCACGGCCACAGAAGGAAGACATCTTCAAGACACACAACAAGAACGTCAAGAAGCGCGCACTGAAGGACCTGGAAGACACCGACTTCACACAGAAGCACCGCGGGCGCACAACCGAGGAGAAGGGCGAAGATGAAGTCGCATGGAAGCGCACGAAGCGGCGCATGGAAGAGAAGGCGCGCTTGTATGATGCCTTGAAGCGCGGCGATGTGGAAGATCTCGACGACAAATACGGCGTCGACTTTGACCGCAAATGGGCTGAGCAACAGGAAAAGGGCGAGGCGGAACACGCCAGCTCATCCGAGTCGGAAGAGGACGAAGAGGAGGAACTTGTAGAATATACGGACGAGTTTGGGCGAACGCGAAAGGGCACACGTGCAGAAGCTGCCCGCGAAGAGCGTCGAAAGCGCACCCTCGCCGCCGACGAACCCGACCGCTTCACCGCGCGGCCCAGCATGCCCACCAACATCATCTTCGGCGACACCGTACAAACACATGCCTTCAACCCCGACGAGACCATCGCCCAGCAAATGGCTGACCTAGCCGCCAAGCGCGACAAAGAACTTACGCCGCCACCCGAGGTACACTTTGACGGCAGAGCCGAGGTCAGGCAGCGCGGCATGGGCTTCTTCAACTTTTCCAAGGACGAGGAGGAACGGCAAGAACAGATGAGACGGATTGAGAAGGACAGGGAAGATACTGAGCGCGTAAGGCAGGAGCGCAAAGAGGCCGTGGAGAAGAGAAAAGCCATGGTCAGAGAAAAGAAGAGGGCCATACAGGAGAAGAGGAGCAAAGGGCAGGCGGAGAAGTTTCTGGAAGAGCTGGGCCAGGAGCTGTTCAAGGACGGAGGGACTGAAGTGGAGGACAATTCGACCGTCGCAGATGAGGGCAAAGAAGCTGCGTGAGCCGCAGTCTTGCCATTTCACATTCTACTATGATACCCCAATACGAAGCACACCTTCTCGTTCGAATTGGTGCTTGCGGTCCTGTACATCCCCGTGTGTTGGTCTTTCTATTTCCCCCAAAAATGTTGCTAATCTCAGAATGTCTGAGTGTACAGTCGTCGCCGTTGGTCTTGCTCGAAAACGCTCTGGTGCCGCTTAGCTGGCGGTCCAAATTCGTCGTCCAAGGCCTTTCTTAGACTCTTACGCCGATCTTCACTCTTGTGCCTGCCTTCGACTCTCTCTACCTGGTTCAGACCCCGCCTTACTCTCATATCCTCTGTCTGGATGACAGACGCCTTGTAGGTTGCGACGTATGGCCCATAGATGGCTTGGAGTTCTGGGCGGTCGAGCCAATTGAGTGCCTCATCGGCATCCATGATAAGCACACTTATCCTCGCAATGGCGTCTTTCGACAATGGCCTCTGAAGCGTCTTCATGGAGATACGGAATGTGTCCAGCGGATCATAAAGCACTAGGGGTAGCTTGAGATATGAGGACAGGGCGCTCCCTCCTTTGGCGATGATGTCCTTTCGTACGAGCGCTCCTGAACGGAGGTTGAAGTGATATGCGCATGTGGAGAGGAATCCCTGGACGTTGGGCTGCCCGTATAGAATGATTAGGGCATAATCAATTAGGCGTTCGCGGATCGCCATGTCGTCGTCTCGGCTTGACTTTGTATTACTCTTTTCTCTTGCGAAGCGCTCGGGGTGGAACGTGATGATGGCGATACGACGAACTGTAGTTGGGCTGTTGTCGTAGTACTCTAGCATTGCTGCCGGGATTTCTGCTTTGTAGCGTTGGGTGCCGGACAGATATAGGACCTTTGCTGTCCTGCCTCGCTCTTTTAGATACTGGCAGTAGTCCCGGAACGCTGTCCCTCCTGCTAACAAGAGAACTGGAGCGGTGGATTTGTCGAGACAGATAAACGCGAAAGTCTGCCAATAAAGGCGAAGCTGGCTGGGTACGCTGTCTAGGACCTTTTCAGAGAGACCAATCATCCGCTTTCTGTCGAGGCGTCGGGAGAAGACGTCCACCATGAACACGCCGGTTGTGCGAACATTGGCGACGTTGTATCCGAGTTTGATCAATAGCACAGCGATGGACTTGTTAGACATGTCGTTCAGTGTCCCATACGACATGTGAAGTGAACTTGTCGGGTCGCTTGTCGGGTAAGAGCTCATGACCATCAGCGGATCTTCCGGCGACCCGAACGGCTTCACCAGGTAATCCGGGCGCATATCTAGTCCTACTGTAGGGGTCGACGGTAAGGTGATTCTGCATTCATCATGTGACGCCTCTGCCCACAGGGCGTCGACGATGGCATTCGTAGCCGGCCATGTTGATGGCGACTCCAATATCCCAGGGATGTAGAGAGGTGGCGCATTCCGCGTATGTGTCTTGATAGCCCTGGTGAGCGCTGCGATCTCTGGTGGCGATGGCAAATCGGCACTTACGGTTGATCGTCTGCCCTCTCCTGCGTCTATAAGCCAACCATCATATTCGCCTACTCATCTTATACAACGGAAAAGTTGAACAGGTACGCTGAAGTCTACATTACTACAACAACACAAGTTTGAGAGAGTTTAAAGACAATGTAGTCCTATCAGCTTTTTTTGCATGTATTTCGTGGAGGTGGCAGTCCACTTTCCCCGTAGATGAGGAGTCCTCAAATTCTTAGCAATTTCATCGCAGCCTCCAAGCTTCTGACCTCAGACTCTAGCATCGATCGCCGTTCCCTCGTACCCGCATCTTCCCCAGCTATCAACTCCAGCTGCTCGACTCCCAAACCAAACACCATCTCAGGAGAGAAGACCCTGAGGGGGCTCTCTTCACCCTCAAGAAGAAAGTGACCGATAGCTTGCCGACAAATCACGTCAACAAAGCGCTTTCGTGAGACCTTGTAGTAGCTAGTAAGGACGTCAAGAATGTCTTCGCGCACTTGCTGCACGTTGTCTTTGTCTATGACCAGATTTCGCAGGTTAGTGGTCGATACGAGCTGAGGTTCGGCGCCATCCTCGTGAGGGAACTTCTCTTCGATATCAGCGTCTAAACGAGCTAACCGCTTCTTTTGCACCTCTGAGCTAAAGTAATGGTTGTACGTTGATGGCTTCCCTTCTCGCTCGATTCGCAGCAGAAATTGAGCCTGCTTCATAGCTCGTACATATGCTTTGCGTACTGCATCCATGATGAGATGATCCCATAGCAGGTCACAGATCTCCTTGTCGGGACAGACGTGGGCAAGGAGCTTGGCTATGTAGTCGTGCACCAGAATGATGGATTTGCTGACATGAGCCTGGACGAGTTGCGGCCACTTCTCCGACTGTTCCTTGAAGATCATAGCCAGTATGGTACCTGAGAACGTGCCCAGCTCTGGTCCTCGGTTCTCTTGATAGACGCGCTCAATATGCTTGGCAATGGGGTCTTCGTCAGAAGCGATCGGCTCTGGGCACTCGTAATCCTCCATCTCAACTATGTCGCATAGCTCAGGATAGTCTTCAAGTGTAGCTTGCACTAGCGCGGCGTCTTCCTCTCTCTTTCCAAGCTCGTAAGCCTTCTCTTCCTCATCTACACCAGATGTGGAGGATGTCGTTCGTTTGTGACCCTTATGCCAGAATTCGTTGGAGAAGGCCTCATTCATCTTTGTCACGGCAGTTATGAGCTTCAGACTTGGCTGTGCTGTGAAGACATGGTTGCCGTCGTAGGAGCCATTCAGGGCATTTTGAGTGATGGTTTGGAATTTCGTCGAGAGATTTCCTAGGTACGTACGCTGAGATGTCTCGTCAGTACGTGCAGGCCCTAACCCATCCAGTTGCTCTCGGAAGGCTGCCAGTTGGCCGAGAACATCAGATCTGACGTTTGGTAGTTCTCGTTTTGTGATGTTTGTTAGTAGGTTGCTAAGACGGGTCTTGAGCGAGCCCACGCCACACCTTTCTGTAGTCAACAAAGACCTCCACTCCGGCTTGGAGAAGAAGCGCTTCTCTTGCTCCAGTCGATCTGTGAGGGTAGATGCGCGATCGTCGGCGCCGCGATTCTTGACCATGCAGTAGCCCAGACGCAGCCTGTTCCGCCCACCCAAAACAAGTTCTTTGATGGTATCGCGAGTTGCGGTCTCCAGCACTAGATCAGGCTTAGTGAGCACACCCATTGTTCGAACACCTTCTGGATCTGCAACTTCGGCCATCTTGAGGATCTCTTGGGTTGAGATGTCGACATTGCATGGCAAGACCGCTAGGATGATAGTCCGGCTATTTCGCATATACGACTCAACCATGTTGCGGACCAAGGTAACGTCACTGTCGGTGGTCAGTGGAGGATTGGGGACGCGGAAGATACCAGGCACATCAATCACAGTAAAGTGCTCTTGGTCCGGGCCGTTGATCTCGATCTTGAGAATGTCTTCGCTGAACGCTTGTAGTTGAGAGTCGCCGGCATCAGAAGACATCCTGATCCCCATATGTCGGTTAGCCTCTGAGAAGCATTCTTCGAGTACATCGGCGGTAACCGTATCTCCTTCAACGTGGAACTTCCGTAGTCGCTCGACGAGTTCCGGATCTGCGTTTGGTCGGGGGATGATTGATACCGAAACGCTCTGCTCAGGCCGACGGCGACAAGAGATCTGCGTCGCATATCGTGTGCAAAGTCCGGCACCTTGCGGGAATGCGAAACCTGTAAGACTCTCTAGAACTGAGCTTTTACCGGAAGATTGGTCTCCGACTACTACAAGCTGGGGTAACTCAAGATCTCGGACATTGAGTTCTCGGAGCTTGTCTATCTTGTCGAGAAGGGCTTGGTTTGTAAGATTAGGTCTACTAGTATTCGTCATGTTGAGATGCTGTTGTATAGTGGAAGCAAGTGCAGCAGCTTGAATGCCCGATGTGTCAATGATATATGAGCTGCTTCTGTGTTTGTTCAAGATACCAAACAAACATAGCAATCCTGATGTTTCAATCGGTGATAAACCAGGTGCTTCCAGTAGTTCTCTTAGCTGAAGATCGTTTGAACAAGAGGGCGGGCGGGCCATGGAGATTGTCAGTGCACAAGGCCATCATCCATCAAGCCCATTGCTGGTATAGCCCAATTTTGCACCCAGTGAGACTCAAGAACCTGTTGCGCTGAAGGTCGTTCGTCTGGTCGAAATGCCAACATCAATCTCATGAGCTTGACAAATGACTGCTTCTCCTCCTCGTCCATCACGTCCACCTTGTTTTTGTTTCTTGGTTCTTGTATTGACTTCTCCAGAAGATCTTCCAACGACTGATAATCCAATCCTCTAAGGCTTCGCAGTTGATCGTCAAAATACTGGCTGCGATTCGCCCATCTCAGCCACAAGTCTTGAGGTAACTGTCCCAAAGCAGCGACTTGATACTCTAAGACTTGGTCGTTACTCGGGAACCATTCATAAAACAAGAGACGTTGACCCATGATACTGAACACTGCGCATCCGAGACTCCATAATTCCGCAGGGAACGAGAATTGCGAGACTGGGTCCAACAGTATCTCTGGAGGCCTTAGCATCAAGGGCGTGTGGGAAGATTTTCGCACATGAGATCCTGGCTGGAAGGATTCGCCAAAGTCGTTTAAAAAGATCTGGGAGTCGGCGAGTGAGAGCTTGTCACCGCGGCCCCCAAGCCAGATTGGTACGACACCATTGTCGGGCACCCAATGATCCAGAGGGCGTCCATCTACCCTTTCTACCTCTTCGAGCGTGGGTTGTCCATACCTTTCGTATAGTTGGTCTGAGGGAAGATCATCGATGGTATTGGGAAGGCGCAGAAGGATATTTGCTTCATGTAGATCTAGATTCACTGTCAGCGAATTGATAATCTACCCACATTAACTATTCCATCACACACCTCCATGAACTATCCCACGAGAGTGCATGAATGCGACTGCCTGAATAATCTGAGCAGCTATCGCTCGAGCTACTGGGAGCTGAAAATAACGGTAAGGGGACGCGTCTCGCGCTTCGGCAATGCTCATCATTGCAGGTGTCGTGACGAGACAGCGGTGCTTTCTCTTCGTACCACGTATCTCTGGACCTTCCACTTCGAATTCATCCAAAAGTTCAGGAAACAGCGTAGTACCGATATGTTCTTCGCCACCGCGTCTTCCCTCGTCCCACAAAGCCTTCAAGATGGTACTTTCGGACGGACGGTCTAGCCCTGATACACAGAATTTGATAGCAACATACTTTGCTAGGATCTCGTCACGCGCTAGCCATATAGTTGAATAAGAACCATGACCCAGTTTATGTACAATGTGATAGCGAGCCGAGCAGAAGCGCTCGCCGATTCGTACCGGATAGTAGTCTCCAACAGTGTAACGCTCGAAGGGTTCGATATCTTCCATCGGCTTGTACATCGGGAAGGAAGACTCTGGGTTCTCAGGCTTGCAATCTGACATCGGTTTTGTATAACTGCCAGATGATGTGTACTCTCTTACTGGGTTGCGAGACGTCGTGTGTGAATTAGCAGATATGTTGCAGGCGAAGCGATGAGTCGAGCGGAACCGTCGATGAAGAGTTGATCGAGACAACAAATCCATCCGCATTGCGAAGTCTTTCATCACTAACCGCAACTGCAGAGAAAGTAACAAGAGTAGGCGCTTTCATAGGTGCAATGTTCTCGCAAACGCGATTGTCAGGAGCTAATGACTGGGTCTGTTGAGGCCTGCCTGCTGGAGGTGGCGGGGAAATCAACTAGCGTCAGGACCCACCGCCACCCGCAGACCCGCCGACAGCATTCGTATATCACCTCAAGTCAGTGCAAATTCGGTATGCTAGGTACTGATTGCATCGGGCATGAACAAGCAGGTGTTGTCGTGGAACGTTGAGGTCCTTTTTTGGCGGGAGAGCTAAATGCATCTGTGGTATCTTTTAAGCACGCGCGTGGTCTCATCACATTCTTTACATTACGTCTCTACCGATAAGAAAATATATACCAGCCTCCAACATTACTATCGCACCGCACCGCGACTCGATGCATCATCCTGCTTCTACCATCGGGCACGTAGGCATCAGTGGACCCTTCCTGGAAGCTCGGCAGGCTCCATGTTTACATGATGACCTCCAGACATCTCAACCGGTCCACGGCTGCTATCCCATTGATATGCCTTCCGCGTGTGTCGCATGTTTCCCATGCTCAATTCAGATTCCTGTGCGAATTCATCCCGGGGACCGTAGCTGTATCCAGATGGCTGTACTTTCTCTTTTGAAGCGCCACGCTTTCGTCGAATGAAGAAGACGCCAAGAATGGTCAAGCAGATCACTGTAAGCCCTCCTAAAACTCCTCCCACGATAGGCCCAATGTTATTTGGTTTGTGTTCGGAAGAATCGGGCGTCGGATTTGACGTTGACGGCGGCAACGAAGCCCCGGACAGGACATTGGCGCTTGAAGGTGCAGTAGTAGTAGAAGATGGAGGTATCGAAGTCTGTGTATCTGGGGTCGAACTGTCCAAAGGTCCGCTGCGTTCAGTGGATGTCGTTGTTGCGACCGCGTCGTTCGGTGTCACGAAGATGCTTTCGGTTTTCGGCTCCCTTCCGCAGGCAATGTATGACAATGACTGATCCGACTCAATTAAGAGCGCAGTGGAACAGAACTGGTCGGATGCACTGGAAACTTTAATTAGAAGAGCCCCTCAGTATGTCTGAAGCTATAGAGAGACCGACCATGAAATACGGCGAACCGTTTGATCAGACAGTTGGCCGCATCCAGACGCACAAGAGCCTTGATCAGCGCATATACCGACTAAAAGACAAAGTTCGGCTGAATCGCCAGGGTGACAAAAGCCCCATAAGCCGTTGGCGGAATCCGCCAGGCAGACGAAACCAGGGCCAGCCCCTCGAGGTTTACTGGGATTGCCATCGGTGTATCCACAGATAGAAGCAGATGCATCGTCTTGTCGTCTGAAAATCTGTTCCTGGGCGTGAGATGCTTGCTGTGTTGCACGTGGTCCTAGGGGTGCAAAACGGCCACGAACAGGTTCCACGGAGCTCAAGGCGACAAGATACACGAGGAACCTCAACATCTCCCAAAGGCAATGTTGATGGTGACGACGGCGCGTTGATTGGTACAGTACTAGAAGCGAAAGAACAGATGCGACGATGGGTGCGACACGTAGGGGGCATAGATGCGACTTAAAGGCTACTGCTGACCCTACCGCAGGTCTGCGGTCAGCAGGGGCGATAATACAGCCATTTCTTAGATTGCGCTTATGCAGTCAATGGGGCGAAGATGTCGTGTTAGCCTTGAGGGAAACGGCCCCCATCTGCCACAATGTCAGCACGTAGCGTCCATGTTGAGTTGTCTTAAGCCTGATTATCGCCATCGAACCACAATGCCCATTCGCCTTTGATCTCCTAGGTCGATACACTCGCACCTCTGGTATCGTCGCGGATTCAGTATCGCCATAGACCTCATCGTTTGACACCAACGACATGCTCTCGGCGACCAGGGCAAAACCGGCAAGGATGGCAACGAGCGACGCATCCCGAGCACAACAAGCATTTAGATGCACTGGAATATGCATTTTTCCCTTCGCGCGTGGATCTGTCCTGGAATCCCGAGGTCCTGGCAACGCCTGGGCAGAGATAGCAACAACCGCGCGCGCCACCAACACCCAACTTTCGCTGCTAGAATCCATATCCCGGAGCTCACTAAGTTAGCGAAAGCGCGCATACGTGAGCGGTTCTCTCGGTACTGGTAGACGCTGCGTGACGCTGTTGAACTTTTTCTTGTTGTGGGAGAAAGGCAGAAGGGATATGTTGACTGGTTTCACTGGTAACAGACGCTCCGGAGGCACGCACGGGCCACTTGTTCACCCAAACAGTGTTGCTAGTGGGATAACTGTCTGCGTCATTTGCCGCCGTGCCGCAACCCGTGGGCCTATTCTGAGCGCTTCCTCCACGCGAAACGGCGCGAATCCGACTTGCCACTCTCAGTCACGCAGCTACATTCTTTGAAAGAGACTTCATCGGCTTTATTGCTTCTCAGTTGCACCCTATTCTTTCTTCTTCGTCGCTCCTTTCTAATGACAACGAGGGGCTTGCGATCGGTCTTCAAGGCGACCGCGTTGCTTGCTGTTGTCTTCCTCCTGATAGCCGGCTTTGGGTTTTTCGACTATGGCGATTCCCTTTCGCGAATAAAACCTATCGTCACTGGTATTGTCAAACCAACCCCGGCAGGTGTGTAGCCTCTGCTTCCCGATAATGTGAGTCGGATCTAACATTTGGGACTAGAAACGAAGCCGAGCAACCTAGATGACTCGCCAACAACATCACAAACCCCCGAGCCTCCCAATGCCAGCGGCGGTTCTGAACTTTCGGAAAGTAACAATGCCACCGTCATTGATATACCAGCATATCTGCACGCCATCATGAATCCTGCGTCTACGACTTTCCCACGACTTGAGTGCCCGCAGCCAAACCTTGAAAGGTATGCGTATCTCGGTGGATCATCTGGATCACTCCAACATGGGCAACTTCCTCGATACTTCTTTGCCCTCGATCTACATCAATGTGTTGACCTTCTTCCGCGATTGATTGGCTCCATAGTAGAAACTATGTACTTCCTTGGGCCACAAAACTGCGTGCTATCTATAGTCGAAGGAAGATCCGACGATGGCACCTTTGATATACTCAATCAACTTCACTCTAGCATGCAACTTTTAGGTACCCAAGGCAGCTTACATTCAGAGATAAAAAAGCTAAGCACTCCTAGGTATTCGATACTACTTCAAATCGAGCGATATCAACCCTCTAGCCAAAGGAGAAAATCGCATCGAGAACCTTGCAAAGCTCCGCAATCTAGCTCTGAGAGACCTTATCGCACATCCGGAGCATTACGACGAGGATACTACGGTCATCTTCTCCAACGACGTGGCTTTGTGTATGGAAGATATTCTAGAAATAATCCATCAGCGGAAGTTCCAGGGAGCAGATCAAACGTGTGCCATGGATTGGACATACGTTGGCGACAACCCGACTTACTATGATGTTTGGATCGGTCGCGGTGAGTTTTGACTGTGCGAAGCGCATGTGAGACATATACTGACTGAGTATACCTATTTCTTAGGAATGACTGGGGACCTATTCTTCAATATCCCGGAAGACGGATCATGGGATAACGCTTGGAATCTCTTCTATAATGACCCTAAATCACAAGCGCGCTGGTCGACCTCAAAACCATTCCAGGTGTTTTCATGCTGGAACGGCATAACGGCCTTCACCGCGAAACCGCTCATGGAGAAAAAGATCAAGTTTCGAACGCATAAGGAAGGCGAGTGTTTTCAAGGCGAGCCGAAGCTGTTCGCCAAGGACATGTGGTTTAACGGTTATGGCAAGATTGCTGTGGTACCGAGCGTTAACGTGGAATACTCGGACGAAGGAACAAAGAAGCTCAGGGCTTTGAAAGGATCCACATCCAAGGTAAGTTCTGACTGTGCGAAGTGCATGTGATAGACATACTGACTTGTCTGCAGCATGTTGCGGACGAAGGAGATGATATCAAAATCGAGTGGGAGGTTTCTCCGCCGGAGAAAGTGAAGTGTATGCCAGACTATCGACACCAAACGTTTGTTGCTTGGGACGAGGGACTGAGGCGTTAATGTAATCGGAAATAAAATTCGAATGTTTGCAACGATTGCGATACTTGGTGAGAGCTGTATGCTACATGCATACTACGCTAACTATGTCGTATACTAAATCCGTCTTGTAATCACCACACGTATATCGTTGGTCGGCTTTCTCACTCCGGTTCCCGGAACCTTGCCCGGAAGCTTCCATGCCCCGTCCGCTGGGCCAACGTCCCACATTGTAATGATAGCAACAGCTAATGTCACAATTTCCTTCTCAGCAAATATCCTGCCTTTACACATTGCAGAGCCAGATCCCCATGGCTTCAGTCGTCCATATCGAGCAGTAAGCTTCCCAGATGACGGGTCCAGCTCCAGAAATCGTCCAGGATCAAACTTATCGGGATCGCTGTAGATCGAAGCATCGCGGTTCACCAAAGAATAAGGTACCGACACGAATGTACCCGGCTTGAGTTCATGTCTCAAATCCCCATCCGTAACGTGAACTGTGTTTGAACCAACAGATCTAATGGACCTAAGATGTGGGTGCACGAGGTCAGTAAATGTCCTACATAAAGTTCGAACGGGGATACAAACGTTGGTTCGTTTACAAGACGGTAGGTCTCGTAAATACACGCCTTCAGCAACGGACAATTCCTTGACAAGCCTTGCATATCCATCGATGTCAATTCTCTGGGGATGGACGTAGACATCGTAATATATGGGGTCAGTTCCTCGCGGAGTTGCTCCAAGATATCGGGCGTGGAATATAAGTAGGTTAACAGCCAGAAGAGGAGTGGTTGCGTGTTCGCATTCTGGCCCCAAAGGAGTCCAAGGTCTCCAGCACCACGCTCAGGGAAGGACCAACCTTCCCTCCTGTAGACGTTGTTCCTTCCCAATGCTGTTTCACCAACGTCGCGCATATCAGCGTCGAAATCGACAGGATCTCCCTGCTGGTACTGGTCGATTCGGCGATACAAAGCCTCGAGTTCAGTGATGAGACGGGTCCGCGCAGCGAGACCCTCTTTCATCACTTTCAAAGGAGCCCACAGAGGCAGGCCAATCATTAAAAGGGGGAAGAGATCGTTATCAAACTTCCACAGATCCTCTAGTGCCTGTGGATATCGATCGAGGAAATCGCGACCGTATAGCTGTGGGATGGCGATGCAGGCGCCAAAGTCTCGAATCAAGCTTTGGAAGTTTGCCTCCACTTTCTCAACACCACCGGATTCAGGGTTGATCACCCGTATTTGTGCCGAATGCTCCCACAACTCCATGTCGCGAGGATTAGACTGGAAGGTCACGAAGGACTTCACTTTTTCGGGTATACAGGCTCTCTCCAAAGCAGCAGTGGCAGCGTTCTCGTTCATGAAGACTTTCTCGACAGGTGCTCGTAGATCCCTGTTTGAAGCGTCCATCTTTTCTTTGAATTGCAGTGAGTCTACGCCGCCGAATACACGGACGAGAAGGGTGTACTGAGACGGCAAAGGATCTAAGATGGATTTTGCCATCAACCGTGTGATGTGCGGCGAATCGATGAGTATTTGGTGTTTTGATGAGAGCCCAACAAGAGATCCACTGTTTCGCCGCAGCAACATCCTACAAACGCGGACATGAGTATTATTTCTATATGATTAAAGCTTCATGGTACTCACAGAATACGGCGACCCAGTCCATTCTCGGAGAGAAGATGCGAAGTTAACCCAATCTCAAGTGTTGCCCAGACGGGAAACAGCTGGTACGGTTTCGATTTCGACGCCACTCGAACGATAAAGATGGCGAGGAGGACGATGATGGCCACAGCAATGACACCAGTGTTCGCTGCCGCTTTCCAGCTCGCTAGCTGGGAGGCATCGGCATGCGATGAGTGCATTGTGTTTCCCATAGCCGGACGACTGACGAGCGTTTCCTATATGGTCGCCTTTATAGCGTTGGATGTGCGTGGCCTGGTGTTACGATCGTATGGTACTGAAGGAGAAGCTGTGACTAGATTTGGGGGCCGGGTGTGCAGGCTTGATAAACCGGCCTCGGAAAACGTTTCAGCCGTATCAGCCGTATCCGCCGTATTACCCCAGGGTTGTACCTATTGCTGATGGCCTTGGCGTCTCGTAAGGTTCAAATATTCACGGCGCGGCAACAGGAGGCTCCGAGTGCCGGCGGTTGTAGCGGCGCGTGGTGGTGCTGCTTTGCTCGATGTTGATGTTGTCTCCCGTTGGTTACGTCTGTGACTGTACAACTGGTTCCTGCATACGTGGAAAGCTAGCTCTACGTGCCTGTCGCGCCTTGAATACGCCCGAGACGGTATGATTTGATAAGACAAATGGCACGAGATCGAATAACCTGTCAGCAGCCACGGGGTCCGCGTCGCAAGCGGGTAGCTTAGGGAACCAGGCAACCACGGCAGAACGCGAAAATTCGCAGGGCGTAAGTATTCGCAACACGATGTGGTGTATTGGGTGAATGCGGTCTTTCGCCCAAAGAGGTTAGACCGTCTATGCGCGCGAAGAGTGGACCCGCGGCAACAACCCCATGAATAGTTGGAAGGAACAAAACGACTGCCACGCCCTCGTAGAAGCCAGGATGAGTGTTCTGGGCATCTTCTTATGTCCAACCTCGCCTGAGCGTACCTACACTCACAGCTACGCCGCGCCTGCCTGTGTTCATCGTGCATCGACACCGCCTCACGCCAAGAGTCTTCACCAACATCGTCGGAGCAGACCTGCGCTAGGGATTTAGAATCGTCCTTCGTTCCTTCCGCTACCATGACAGCACAGAGAGTACAATGTCCTACATGTCTTAAGGACTACAGCTTGAGGACGCACATGGTTCTACACAACGATGAACCGAAGAAAGCAAAACTTGGTTCAAGGAAGCGATACCGTGAGGCAGCGATACTGGCAGAGACATGGAAATGCGCAAAATGCAGCAAAATATATACCACTAAGAACAACCTGGATCAACATCTGCGCACACACCACTGAGAACTATCCAACTCTTCATTCGACTGCTCTGTCTGCCCGGAGACCTTCAACAACAAAGTGACTCTGGAGGAACACCACCGAACCGTACATGCAATGGACACCGCCCGAAAGACCACCGTAGATGAGAGTCTTGGGTCTATTCTCGGCTTCGAATGCATTTACTGCGGCAGGAAGTTTCGGACCCAGAAGAAGATGAACACTCATATCGACTTCAGATGCCCCGCAAGAGAACGTGAACCCTACCCTGCGCGCAACGGTAACACTAACATACTCTGAGAGATTGAACAGATTGAAGAAGCTATACCAACCATCGATCGTATTGACAAGCCCGTCTACCAGAACATGTTGACGACGCTGTACCAGCAGCTGTCGGGATGGCAGCGGCAGGATGACGATGGGAATCCGTGCCTCGTGCCTCTCCGCACAACAGGCCTTAGACTCCATCACCTCGGAAAAGGAAAGAAACTGAACGGGTCTGCAGACTACGCTATGACAAAACAAACAAATCGGAAGATCTATCGTCAATGTAGGCTCCAGGATGGTCTCTTGAAGGCCATGAAGGTACACATAAGAGCATGAAAATAACACTCACAATCAACTTCTTAGTCTGTGAACGGGTCTATCCTAGCGACAGCAAGATGTTGCATCATTGGATCCGCACTCCGCAATCAGACAATTTGACTATGAGTAAATGGGAAGTCATCATCAGCATCCACGTTATAGAGTACGGCAATGCACAGCACATAGATCGGAGATGCACATATCTCATTCGCAAATACTCCTGTATCTACAAAGCCATCTTCCCCTCATCTCTAGCAAAAGCAGCCCCGCTAAAATCGACACGATAGAAACAACGCCTGCCAAATGCAAAGTTTACTCCTCACCCTTCGTTACAGCATGCCGTTTTTTCGAAAACTGTCCTGAAAAAAAGGTTTCCCACGAAGGCCAGGCTGGCACCTGGGTCTAAAAAAGCCATTTGAACATGGACCGCGGCAAGCTCCGGGTCCTTCCTGAAAGGGGGTAATCGTTGAAGAAGCGAAAGAACATATCATAGCAAACGAGATCTTCGTGACGTAAAATAGTGCAAACACGTAAAGGGAATAGTGCCTCGTGATGCCGAAGGGCATGTAGACGTGAGGACTGATATCAAATTCTGGCCATGAGCGAAGGGTATCTGGTGGTATTGGAAAGTCGTGAGCTTAATGTGATGTAAGCGTCTCGTCCTCCTAGTGGGAGTTGGTGGCAGGCTGAGGTGGAGGCGTAGACAGGATCGAGATGCCCATGGTAATTATAGCAATCAAGAGTCATAGGATACTGCATGCGCTGCCCGAAGACCTATCGATACGTTGTCAGCTACTGCACCGGATATATCTTTGCGTCGAAAGTATCCAAAGCCAATGGCATGGACGGGAATGTGTCACTGGACACTCGTACGGTATCTCTATCGTCATAGTGATCAGCGCACAAGCAATGATCCACGTCTCTCCGCGGAAGCCATGCTGCACGACGGCGGGACGATCACCGTTTGTGATTGTGTCACCCAAGACTTAGTGCATGTGCCGGGTTCCTGGTGCCGAGAGCCGAGGGATTGGGGAGATGATTAGATAGGAAAAGGTAGATGCTTACCATCTTTGCCCGCGGATCCTGCCAATCCACGAGTAAACAATCTTCAGACGCTCGCGAACCCTTTCTGTTTGTAATAAAACATATTTCTCTTCTTCCACGATTGGGACGACAGAGGCAAACCAATATGGAAATATCGCGGGGTCCTCAGGTGGTTCACCGTAGACTTGGATGATGCGCTCACGAAGCCAAGGCGCGCTAGCCTCTCTCATTTCCCGCACAAACGCTGTGCAACTGTCGAGTAGTTGTTGCGTAGAAAGGGTCTCAATCGCGACTTCCGCAGGGAGCTGGTTCTGCGGGTGGTCGCGGAAAAATGCTTCCGCATAGTCCCGTGCCATGGTGGTTTCGCGCTGCTCTAATATGGCTTCTTCGGCAAGAGAGACATCTTCAACGCGCTCGATGCGGCTGACGTTGTACCCATCAAGCAAGCCATGAGCCCTCACCTTGAAACGACCGATACCACGTGTCTCGATAAAGCTACGCCCATCACGGAGTAGCTCGTAGTTGACGATCTCGAGTAGCGTTCCGTATTCCAGAAACGGGGTCGGACCAAGATCGCCTTGTGGGGCGTGAGTGCGATTGTACATGACCATGCCGAATTGTCTGCTGCCTTCAATGACACGTCGCATCATGAGCCGATAGCGGGGCTCAAACACATGAAGGAAAGTCGGCATTGCAGGTAATGACAGAGTGCAAATGAAGAGCGGAACGTTCAAGACGTTGTCCCCGGCCTGTTCTTCCGCTTTTAGAGCATCGGCACGAGCACTGACCATATCTGGACAAAGCCCATTCAACAAGGAGTTGAGTATGACGTTGCTAGATTGATTCTGCAAGGACGCAGGCACATGCAGTCCTCTGCGACAGAAGGGGCAAATGCTACTGTGGTCCATGACACGACCGAGGCAGCGGCGGCAGAATGTATGACCGCACGAAGTCGTAGTCGGGTCGAGCATCAAGTTGTAACAGACAAGACAGTCTAACTCCTTGTGGGTTACGTCGCGCAAGCGTTCCAGCAGCGTGATGTCAAGATGGTCGTAGTTGTCCCCGCTTGCCGATAACGACTGGTAGTGGACTTCGGAAGTGTACCGAAGTTTGCCGATCTCAGCCATGGTGAACGTAGACACGAGACGTCCGCCATGCAGTTCCTCCTGGTGCCCAGGGTGACTAGGCTTTTCCTTCTCTTTCTCGTCCATGGGTGAATCTTCATGCTGGGGTATCTCGATCAGAAGCATCGGAGTATTTTCCGCAGATGGTCTATGCGCGACTATCTCGGCTTTTATCAAGTCCATCAACTTGGTCAACGTCACGTCGACAGAGCACTCAGCAGAAGCGTGTTCGGCCCCGCAGCCCATTAGCGGACACGCGATGCCCATGAGGCGATCCGGCGTGTTCGGGTAGGATATGTTGGTGCGAGGTTGCGGGGCAGGCAGGCAGCCGCGACAGACGGTGTGGCCGCAGGGCAGTGTGACGGGGACACTCAGAGGTTTCGAGCATCGCGGGCACTGGACCAGGCGGACCATCTGTCGGGCGTCGCGGTGGGCGTCGAGGGCGACCGCCTCCGAAGCCTCTGCCGAGCGCTCATTGTCGCACATGAAGGCCTGTGCAGATAATTGAGGCTCAAAGGAATGCTCAACGCTTTCGACGATAGAGCACCCTTTTGTCCGTTGGTGATTCATGTAGATTCGCTATGTTGTGCAATGACTGCGGCAGCCATGTACAGTCGCAGGCCCGTCGGTGGGTCAGGTCGCGGTTTTGGTTGGTTCCGAGGTGGTCAAGCGGATGCGCACTGCAGGTGTGCAGGGAGGGAGGGCGGTTATGTAGTCGATAGCGAGGCTGCGTACTTCAAAGATAGTCAAACCTTCGAAATAGGCAAGAGAGGGTTGAAACGTCTTTCACGGAACGGTCGATGCTTTCGGACGCTGGGTCGAGGCGGATCAGCAACGCGCGTGCTGATGCAGGGACGGATGACGACAGAGGCTGCCGAGGGTGCTGATATTATCGGGGGCAGACAGTGTCGAGGTTTATAGGAGCACGCGGCGTGGCAACACGAGAGCTCGCGAGTGGGAGGAGGTGGTGCAGTCTAGCAGTAGAGCGCAGAGCGGACGAGGGCCATGTTCAAGAGAGAACAACTTGAAGTGGTCATCCATGCTGGACGGATAGTTAAAGATCGGCGATGTTGCTCTGCGCCCCGTATCAGTCATGGAAGGCTGCCACCCGATGTCTGTGTTCAACGCTGGGATGCTCGGATCGAGGCTAAGCCTATCCTGGCCCCATGAGAGAACGGCACGGTCCATACGCAGACAAATGTCCACGCAGCCAGAGACAACGCAAAGCCTTGCTTGTTCCCACACCAGACGCGCCTCGAACCGGTATCCCGAGCACTGGGATGACTGCCGCGGCCCATTGATTGCGCCGCGTATCCGGAGTGGACACGGTAAAGGCGGTGATCATGTAATTCCAGCCAAATCAATGCCTTTCGAGCGGCATGTCTTTGCCAGGCCCATCTTCATTACCAGCAGCGTAGCCGCGCGAGCCCAGCGCAACAGCAGGTGCGTCTATCTGCAAGAATTCGTGTCTTTCTATCGTTGCTCGGCGGTAATACATGTAAGAAGCGAAAGTCGTCGTCGTCATGGATCACGTCTACGCAGCCAATCAACAGCGGGTCCGCTCGCTGTCATTTTCCCATGTGTCTCGCTCGGAAAAGACTAGCCGCCACAGAAGACCCTGTAAATCTGGCAAAGGACACCATGAGGGTCCGATTGTGGTGACGACTTGCATTTCACCATTGAGGGCAAACAATGCTTGTGCCTCGTGTCTCACCCACACTGCAAGCTACAACGTCTGTTAGTCGCGGCTACACAGACCGTGGATATCCAGGCCACCCATCAAGTCTGGACCTTTTTGTTGTTCAATTCAATATCGCTCGACGCTCTTGTCCCTGGCTGCGGTTCCACCAGCTTCGCCAGACACCTGGGCATAACCGAATGAAGCGCTAGACTAGTGGACAATCTTCGGCAAGCCTCCCAAAACGTACCAGGGAAACTCCATATGCAAAAGAAACCTCTCCACGCACGCTTTGGCTCGGCTCCACCAACACAGAACATGACTATTGTACATTGACATCCCTGTACATAACGCTCCTCAACGCCCGTTTCCGAAATCTCGGATTCGTACTCGCGAACACCAGTTCACGGTGCCCTGGGCCCACCGTTTGTCCCTGGCTGTTCCGCCTCTGAGTTGATGTCTGATTCAATGCTCGACTCCTCTTCCTCGTCGTCGTCTTCTTCCTCCAGCACAATTTGCTCGAGAACCCGTTTGTCGAACAAGTCTAGCATGAACCGGCACGCTGGGAGACGGAAGTGATGTGCTTCCAGAATCTGCATCACCTTGTGGAAGATCGCAGGCTTGCTGAAACCGGGTGCCTTTCTAGCTTTGATTCTAAGCCGCATACATTAGCTCGTAACTTTTAGCCCTCGAACAAGGGACTACTTACGCCTGCAAGTCGTTTGCTGCCTTTTTGGCAAGCACGGTATTGCCCAAGTCAGTCGCGAGCTTTAAGATGCGCGCGTTTATTGGATCCCTGTCGGTGACCGCAACCTTAATCTCTGCATTGGGGTTCCAGCTCATGTCTTCCGCCTGGGCAACCCAGGGTCTCATCTATAATGCATTAGATCATTGTCCGAGGCGAAAAAGAAATCAAGTACTGACCGCAAAGAGCTTGTTGAAGTTTAACGGCAGGCAAAACCCTAGTGCCTCGCCAGAGTCATTGACGACGCCGTCCCATCCATATTCCAGCAGGATTTCCTGGCCATGGAGACTTCGGGAGATCAGGCCCAGTACGTAGAAGGCTGTGCCTCTAAGTGACATGACTTCTGACTGCTCGGCAATCTGCACGACCCACTTGACCACATCTGAGCTCTCAAGGAATGGCGCCCCCAATTCCATTGAGCCCACGTTGCCAACCGCCCATAAGCAGCCCTTGACCTTGAGAATTATCTCAGGGTCGTCATTCTCCGACGCAAAGTCTCGAATGGTCGCGGCGAACTCGTCAAAATGACCTTTCTGCTTCAGTAGCTTGCATCCTTCCTTGGTTCTGGTCAGTTCCCGATAGAAGTGCGGTGGCACGAGGCCGTAGTCCGTTGGTTCAGGCGTGTCGTCGTACGTCAGTTGAGTCGACGGCTTTTCGGGTATGTCCGCGAGTGCGCGAGCCATGGAGGCTTCGATCAAAGCCACGTAAGTATCGTTTCTTCCCAGGAACCAGTCGTCCATCTCTCTCGTGATGTAATCCAACCCATCCAGGTAGTGGTAGCCTACCGAAGTTGAGAGGAACCGGAGCAAAAGTGGAGCACCAATTTCGCCCAGATGATCCAATGCCGGGCGGCATTTCACGACAAATTCCAACGACTCTTTCTGGTTGCAAGCCTCTTCCAATATCTTGATTGCCACTTCACACACTTCCACATCCGGGTCGTACAGCTGCGTCACAAGGAGCCTGATAGCCCATTCCGCTACACTGGTAGAGCTGCTCACTCCCATAGGCTTTGTCGCATACTTGCGCAACAATCTGGTTGCAAAAATACGAATCTCTTTGGAGCATGATGTCATGGCTTTGGAGATGATGATGCGTAGATGACCGTCCAAAGTGTAGTCCATATTGCTCAACAGAGTTCGGATCAGGTCGTCGCGGTCATTGAGCTCGATGATGTGGTAGAACATATTGATCACTCTCCATCTTTCTAGAATGTGGATTCCTCGAGAGTCTTTAGTCAAAGCACCCAGAAGCGCAAAGTAGCCGCCAGTGAGCGTTTCGTTCATCCGATCCGTCTGAAAGATAGGCGACTCAGATGTTAGCCCGCTCATCCGGTCGAAATGCGACAAACACTCGGCAAGCTGTCGGATAAATTTGCTCTCTGCCAGATACTTGACGCCTTCTGGGTTTTGCAGGAGACTTTGCATCAGGGCGCATCCGGCTCGCACGTATCGCTGGTTCGGTTTGGTATTTTTGATCTCAGAGAAACGGTACTTGAATGGACGATAGAACCCCAAGACACGATGGATGAACTTGGTTACTTTGATAGCCTCGTCCAGGCGTTTGGGATTGAGTAGAGGGCCTTCGATGATGTTCAGAATCAAATCCCACTTCCATTTCGTGAACGTGACCGTGTTCAATACTTGGGTCTCGACCATGAGGTTGCGAAAGTGGGCCTCGTCCACCTGCATGGCGGCTTGTAGCTTGGCCGCATGGTCAGATTGTCTGTTTGTCGATGTGCTATCGGAGAGCGCAGTGCTCTTAGTGGTATACAGAGACGTAGGTCCGGACCGATAAAGAGTCCTGTTGATGCTGTCCACTTGATATATGGTACCAATAGCGACAAAGCGGTCTTCTGAGTCGAACCGCGCCGCTGAGTGCAAAAGTTGTGGGAGTACTTGGATCTGCGCGCTCCACGATGGGGGTAGCAATTCATTGGCCATTTTCAAAACTTCCCCAATTAGAAGGGTTGTCTTGCGCTTCAACGGCAATGTCAGAGACTCTTCTTCAGCCTGTAGCAGTGCTGGCATCAAACCTGCATGTAGAAATGCAGCCAGAACTACAGAGACATAATGGTCTAGTAAGCTCCACTTGGTGGTGTCGTCCTCGGTGCTACTGGAGGTTGAAGTCTCTTTGATCTGCTGGTTTTTTAGATTCGTGACGCGGCCATAGGTAGTCAAACGCCGACCAGCAAGGAAGGAGGATGACCAGGAGGGAGGCTTGATCCTGAGAAGATCGAATAAAAGTTCCAAGATGATGTTCCGAACATGAGGAGTAGGAATCTGTAAGGACCAAAGTAAGGATCGAAGGGGCAGAAAATTGTTCATGGAAAGGGTAAGTAGTCCAGGCCAACTTCGGAGTAAGGATGCTATGACCTTGGCATTGACCTTCAGTTTCTCTTCGTGCAAATGTCCATGAGTGGTATTTGCGTCCGTGAACATGGCGAAGGGAGCTTCCAGCTCGCGCCCGGAGCGCAAAAAGCGGCGTCGCCTGGGAGTATCCAGTAGATAGAGGAACGAAGTGCCAACACTTTCGGCCGCGTGATAGCTTCCTTCCCCAAGAGCATCAGCCAAAGCGCCCATACCTCCGGCTGCAACCAGAAGAGATGGCTTCCGGACAAGAATCTCGGCCAAAGTCAGGGTCGCAATATTCCTCAGTCGGTCTTCTGCGTGCTCGGCCACTGCAACGATGATACGAACTACGGCGCGGGCGATTTCCTCAACGCCTCCCTTGACGTCGAGGAACGCTCGGACAAACTTTAGTGCTTGTTCACGTTCCACACTGGCTTTGGACTCTTTTACTAATGACAAGATGACAAGATGGTCTGTATGAAGAGCCCGTATGATCCGGAGAGATTTGCGATCAGTGAAGGAATAGCGCATGACTCGATATGCTGCTGCAACAACTTCGCGGCTGTCGCTCAGGAGCATGGTTTGCATTCGTAGTCCGAAAATGGACCAGGCTAGGTCGTACTTCAGCGTAGGGTGTCGCTTGAAGAGAAGGACCAGAGAGTTGGCTCTCTCTACATAGTATTCCGGTTGCAAGCCCTGAACTTCCAGGGCCTGCAATATCTCTGCCAGAACGAAGGTCGGCGATTCAGTTTCCTCCTCCTCTCCCACTTCTTTCTCAACGATATGCCGCGACGGT